CCTGCTATTAATTTGCTAGCAGAGTATTTTGCTGTACCACTTACCCAGACAATCCCCAGGCACAGTTCAGAGATTAATGTACACCAGGATCTATTTTTAACAGGCAGTTTGGCTGCAGTCATTTCATATTGTAGAGGAAGAGACTTCAAACAGAGACAGAGCTGGACTGAGCTATAGGACTTTGGGGGTAAAGATGGATCCTGCCTAATTAAACTACAGATGTACCCTGATATTCTGATGGCAAATTTTAGTAATTTTTAGTATCTTGGTGAACAATCATCTTATAATAATTCCAGGGTTATAACTCACTCACAAACAAATTGATCTTATATTGACATTCTGCTTATTAGAAGCTTGCCAAAATAGTCAAGGATTTCGCAGCATGCTAATGTTTGACTGAAAAGTATGCACATCATCATTCCTTTGCTCTTGATCATGTACTATGCTAGTTGCAACCCCTCAAAATACCTTCCATTTTCCAAGTACAAAACAGAATTGACTTCTCTAATTTTTGTTCTTGTGAAGATCCTCGTTGCCCTAATGACCTGATACTAACTCAAGTGAGACAGCCTGTAACAAGTATCACCTGGTCTGTGGGGATGGCTGCACAGACATATGTAACAACACTGGAGTCTCCAAAAGGACAGGCAAAGTGTCGCACTCTTCAAAATTACTGTCTCCTGGGATGCATCACATGCAGCACCAACTATACAGTATCTCTGAAAGCAATCAGTGAAGCGGGCTTGACATGCAGTTGCACATTGCAAGGATATTCTTCCAGTAAGCAAATTGTAAATGCAATTGGGAAGAAAAAGACTCAATATACAACTAACTTTGTATAGTGTTCCTCTCATACAAGTCATGCAGCTGAGATTCAATACATAGCTAATACGCTTGCAGTTCTCTCTTTTAAATAAATGGGCTTTGGATTATTTTCTCATATCATTTAAACCCTGTTCTTGTAACTGCCATCAGGTGGCCTATAAATAAGTTTCGATAACATTGCTCCAGAACCAATTTTTTAATTTAAATTATGCTATAAATTAAATTTTAGAGACCACAAAAGGATTCTGGGCACTCTAGGGTAGCCCTAGTGCCTCCGTAGTCAGGAGAGTGCAACAATATTCCAATGTGCAAAACAACGGCTGAATTCCAGCTCCATAATATGAGTCTGATAGAAGATTTTCTTCCCTAGTTCAGTTCAAGAATTATTTTGGCTTTCTGTGAAATAATTATTTCTCCTTGAAATGATGGTATCCAGTGCGATAGTAATCATATCATCTGGTTTAAAATGCACTATAGGAATTGATAATGTATCGTGCATTCACAAAATTTGCTTATCAATGTTTCTTATTTTATTAGGTGCTTGCTGCCCTTCTGGGGTGAAGCTATATAGACTCGGTAATAATGGTGTCGGGGTACACTGGCGAGCTTCTGAAGAAATGATAAACTACAATACTGATTGACGTGGCTCAAAAGGCAGTTTCACCTGTACCCCTAGCTCAGGTCCAAGTCGCTGGGATATCACTGAGATACCTTGTGGAGATGTCTACACAGTGGTAGAATCTCCAGTTACTGATAAGGGGCTGAAGCTTACATTTTGTCCTAAAAAAAATACCTTCAGGTAAAACTTAAATTTCTTTGAACGATGTAGTTTTGTCCGTGCATGCTAGATGGTTAAAATGTAATCCGAAGTTATGTGAGTAAAGGTGGCATGGAATAGAACTTTTCTATTCTAGGGTTGACTCCAGAGTAAACTTTATGGGTGCTATCTTGCAATATCTGTGACAGGAATTTCACAGGAGCATTTTGGGACTGGGCATACTTCTCTGCACGGGTGCCTCTTCACTGGATCACCCATAACCTGGTGAATACAGAGAAGTTAATTTTCAGTTGGGAGGTTAGTGGTGGTTAGAATACAGAAGCAAATGAATGAGAATTTTTAATGGTTTTGTTTTCTAATTTGTTTTCTGGAATTATTGGTTTTGAATAAAGAAACAAATCAAGAACTTCTATGAGCCACTCCTAAGCACACATTTTAAGTAAAAATTGGTTAAAGTAGTAGTAGTTTCCTTGGGATTCCTTTCCCAGGGCATAAATTTAATCCATTATGAAACTACTGCTATCTGATGGGACTGCACAGTTGTAGAGCATGGACTACATTCTACGAACTACAAATGTTTTCCGGCTTACAACCTGACACCTAACATTTATACTACTGTTTCATGTCATTTCAGTAACCTGTTTTGGAAGCTCTGTTGGAATGGGTAAGAGCGCACAGTACATTCATTCCAAATCCATGATGTTTATAAAACATGTTAGTATCATGTAACTCCAAATAGGATGCAAATAATATATATATTTGATAGTCAAGGCTTGTGTTAGTGTTATGCAGGGTTGTCTCACCCCCCCATCTTATAATGTATAATTAAAAAAAAAAAAATCTCACCTATATTGTGGCCTGTATACCATCATGCATTCTACACTGTCACAACATTTACTATTTATCTGATAGCACGTAATAAAAGAGAGGCTTATCTTTTATAGCCTCGCCATATCCCATTACAATTTAAACAAGGTCGCACTTCTGATTTTTATTTAAAAAAAGCAAAAAAAAGTGTGGCTTACCTCACCCTATTTTACCTTTTTTCTTCTGGGGTTTCAACAGGGTAGTCTTGTGCTTTATTTGCCTATGTGAACTGCTAGAAAACTTCAAAAGGAGCCACTGAAACAAACAGTTCTCAAGACAGTTGCTTTTTTGTAACTGAAATTGTCTTAATTTCTGAATTCTGTTATAGTGATTTGTAGAAGAGCAATACAGAACAACATATCTAGATGAAAATTCTGGTTTAGATAAGGAGGTAAGTTATAAGCATCGTTATTCAGATTAGGATGTATTAATCAAAATTTTCCTGCTGCATAAATCTTTGGGATTGGAGGGATAAGGTCACCAATCCTGTATATCCTAAATAGAACTGGTTTGTTCAAATCCATCATGTTTACCTCAGCAACCTCATGTTGTCTATTCCTGCTATCAATACTGATTTGTCCTCTCCTCCATTTACAATAAAACCCTCTTTCACTTCATTAAGCCTTTTCTAATACTATCCTGTAGTTCCCCAGAAAAGCCCTCAAAATCCAAACAGATCAAGATACTCTTCAGCACTCATTTACTTTCTCTCTCTGCTAGCTAAAACTGCTTATTCTCCAACAAAAGTACTGGTGTTCTGGACTATTTACTGCCCTTGTCTCAAAAGGATGGCAAGAAGTCACTGCTGGCTTTTTTTCCCTTAAAGCTGATCATCTCCGCTTTGCTGCTGTGCTCCCACAGCTATCCTGGATGTTAAGGCTGTTGATAACACCATTCTCCCTAAATGCTCTTAGTCTTTCTTTCCCTGAAGCTGGAAAGATGACATCTGTGCTTAACTGCAACAGTCACAGCTGCTTGAGGACTGGGAGGAGGGAGGCTGAACACCTAGCCATATCTGAGATTTAATCCAGGACACCAAATTTGAGCCTCAACTGACGAGATAATTTTTAAAATGCAGATGAACCCTGATAGACATCTCCGTAATCTTGAACTGTAATTTTCCCCGTAAAGCAAGTGGTTTTAAAAGCTCTTCCAAGACAGTTATTAATCAGTAGGTGCGTTCTAGACCTAATGTGTCAATGAAATACCAAAGGCTGAAATAAAGATTAAAAGAATGAATTTAACTCCTTAAAAAAAAAAAAAGCAGCAGTTTAGGTGCACTCAAAAGCAGCTTGAGGCTTAATCAATAGGCTTAATACTTTCTAAGGCTATTTCATTTTAATCTAAATTTCAAAAAAAAGTTTCTTCCTTTACATTTTTGAGAGGTGACTCATGAGGGTAAACATAACGTCCTCTTCACATCAACTGACTTGTTTTGCTTTGTGGCTCATGAAGAACTGACAGTTATTACTGAAATTTTGATTTCCCATTTTCCAGAAAAGGCAGAACCTTTTCTCATACTTCACAGTGGTTACTTTTTCAGCCAACATAGAAAGCAAAGTTCAAGTTCAAGGGTTCTACAAACATAAAAAGTAAAACAATTACTCAAAGATATCTTACAAAAACAGTCTTCAGAAGCTTATGTATAAAGGTTACCAAAGGCAACAGGGTTTTTAACGCTATTTTCAGCCTATAAAAATAGACACCATGCATTCCGAAAATTTCCTTTCTTCACAGAACACAGTTGTGCTGTGTATCACAGTCACTGCTTCTGATCGCTTGCACAAAATAATCTCCTGGGAATCTCTCTTCAGTAAAATGACTGTAGATGGCCCAAGAATTACATGTTGCTTCTTAGAACATGATCTGCATTTATTCACTGTCAAGCAAGTCTTTCTTTAGGAAACATTATTTAAAACTGCTGCCCTGCATTACTTAATAAAAAGTTGGGTTTACTTCTCATTTAATTTGAAAAAAAAAAAAAAAATTAAGAATGTAAAAATAAGTATGGTTCACAACTTCCATCCTCAAGGGTTTTATTTAAGTGTTTTTTCTTTGCAGTCATCATTGTCAAACACTGTCACCAAAGCCTAAGTGTTTAACCAGGTGGCTATTAACTGGATTTTCAGAGGTCTAAAGCAATCAGTTTCTTTTGGAATCAAATTCAAGCCGCAGCTTGCTTCTTTTCGTATACGCAATTCTGATATTTCCATGCTCGAATAGTAACGATAACGTAATTTAAGCAATTATTAGCTATTGGTGTATTTTTTCTCTATTCTTCCTGACATACAGACATTGACATCTCAAAATTACACACTACAACCTTGACAATGCTGTAGTACTATTTTCATCAGCTCCTCTCATTTTCATGGTTGAAAACGAGAAGTAATTGTAACAAAGTATTATTTGCATGTCTGTTTAAAAAAAAAAAAAAAAAGCTGAAGAGGAGTCACAACTCCAAGAAAAAGTAGGTAGAAGATGTAGACAATTTACCAAAACAGGGAGGAAAAGCAACACAACCAGAGCCAGATCCACACCTCCTACTGTGGCTGTGCATATGTTGCAGGCATTCTTACTCAGGCATTAGTAATTGTCTAATTATACTCAGGCATCAGACATTGTCTAATAATAATTAACACCACTGATACGTGAAACTTCACTGGCACTCACCGAGATGATTAAAAAGCTTTAGTCAGGATTAGTTTCAGGTTCTCTCCAGACTGAGGCAAATGTTTTTTTTATGGGTCACGCTGACTTGTTTTAAGATCACAGGAAAGGACAATTACATGTAGTTATTTCCATAAATGTAGTTTGCTGTTTACGAGTGTGAAGCTCTGGTCTTCATGAAGCAGAAAAAGCAACCAACCAAAAAACCCCAAATAAACGCCAAAATAACAAAACAAACCAAACAACCAAAAAAAAAAACCAAAACCCAAAACCAACCCAAGCAAACAAGCACCCCAACCCCACAAACCTCTTAAAAGAAGAAAAATTTGAGAATCAAGAAAATTCCTGTTGAAGACCCAGAGGTAGGCAGCGTATCGGTATGCGAAGAAAAATAAATGCTTTCAGAACAGTATCTGTGAAATGGCTTATACTAACAAATTAGGTGATTAAAAACACCTAGGTTATGACAGATGCCTTCATTAATGCTTACTTAACAAAAAAATTCAATTAAATGAATAATTTTAAAGATGTATTAGTTGCAATTACACAGAGATGAACACTTGCAAAAAAATTTGTACGTATTGTTCCAAAAACAAATTATTTGTAATTGTATTTGACACAGAAGTAATAGCTCAAAACTTAGATAGGCTGTTTTCAGTCCAGTAAAGAAACTGGCAAAAATCTATCCTTCAGTTGGTTTCAGATTTGACCTAAAATTGCTGAGATTTAGGAAGTGTTCTGCCACATCCCACTATTGGTGGGAAGGGGGGGGAAGGAGATACAATAACAGCTACATTGCGAAGCCTCAAGAGTGGCATTTAATTGCTGTTTTACCCTGCTTAATAGCTGGTGGACATCTCCTGTGTGTAAAGTTATGTGCACTTCACAGCAGTGCAGAAAGGGCTCAAACATCTACCAAAGCCAGTAGAAGTCATCTAATTCTTTCAGGTTCCCCTTAAGAGCTCCCGGCTGTTTGTATACTGTCTTGGAGTCAGTACAGTAATATTCAGCTGTAAATACCAAAAGTATGAGCTCATTCATGTTTCTTCATCAACATATAAATGAAAGTATAAAAAACATGGGTATGGGGTACTAAGTACCTCTCATTGTGATCAGATAAATTGCCCTGCCAAAACATTATCTTTTTCAATACAGATCGACAGTCAAAATACCACTCCTATTATGTTTCAAAGTCAGATACATAAAAGTCCTTTTGTGCTGACACTAATTACCTGCATAGTTACGCGGCAGTAGGTAGATGTGAATCTCTGGGGCCAAAGCCTTGACCCTGCCTTAAAATAAAAGAATGCCACTTTGCTACTTCTGAAGATCTGAAATACTGTCAGAGTAGTATCTTCAAGAGAAAAAATAAAAACAAAATAGAGGTCTATTTCTCAAATTAGTATTATTAGTCCAGGTAAGTACTTATCATGGGAGCCAGGGGAAATTTCAGAGACAGAGGAGGCTTCAAGAGGAACAACTGTGCCAGCTATGGACACGTGGCATGCTGCGGAAAGCTTGGTTTGTTGTGCTTTTACCCCGAGAACTGAAGAGTAACCGCACAGGCTCTGTCAGACAGAAGCTCTGCAACCACACCTCCTGGGAAAGCTCTCATAATACCTCCAATTAAAATTGACAGAAATTTTCTTCTAATGATGCCGAGCCAAATGCCCACTGCAGCTGTACCGCTAGCAACTGCGTCGGACCAGTCAGCACTGCAGACTCCACTGATCTCACCATTTCTAATCAGAGCTGGTTTCAAGGAAGGTCCTATGAAATAAAATGGCATCAGAAAGACAAAAGGGAATTAAAGAGTCCCTAGGTCCAAACACACGAGCTACAAGATACTAAATCCCAACGATAACTTAAGATGGGTGTCTTGGTTTAAGTTGTTTTCATGGGTCTTGGTCAGTTGTGAATATTGTGCTATCCATTACACTGCTAGCTCAGGTACATAATACAGATCAAATTAAATCCAAAAGTCAGAAATGACTATTTATTGAAAAAGAAAAGCAAAGTCCTCAGATTACTGCACTTGTAAGAGATACTGGCACAAGCCGGTGTTTGCACAAGCTGCATCAAAATGTTCACTATCTTCATTGTAATTAGGTGGCTCTCTCCACTTTAAGGTCAAAGATTGTTCCTCAAATATTGGGCTTTTGCCTGCAAATAAACCATTCTTTCACTGTATTTCCCAACAATGGCGGCGGAGGTGGAGCACTGAAGGAACAACTGGCAATCGGTAATCCATTCTCCTTGACAGAACGCTGGCCTTACAGCTCCTCTGCCCAAGAACGTACTTGTTTCAGAAACTCATAGGCTGAAGGTTAAAAACTAATGAGACCAAAAGGAGCCTTCTAGTGGCAAATAAGGTAAGCTAAGGTTGTCCTCATTATTTTGACGGAATCCACACAATCTCCTGGCAGACTGCAAAGGCAGTTCTAATAATCTACCAGCCGGGGCATTTCTTAAATGGCCAATACAGTTTTTCTCCTCCTATATTAAATGAGTGGTCAGTATTTTAGTTTTACACCGCAATGGAAAGAACTTGCTAAAGCTTAAGCTTTGTTTCAAGCTCAGATTTAGAATCCGATAACAAAAATATAAGGAGACAATACCTGAACAACCTCGGTATTAGAAGATTTCTAATACTACGGATCACGGTGACAAAGGGAAGACTAACAATTCAGAAAACAGTAAGAACAGGGAAGAAGAAAAAAATTGAGTTTGTTATTTCTGCTTCTTTGAATACTATGGAATGAAGTGTATTGTTAGAAATTCAAGCACTGTTTGTTTTGTCCTGGAAGTTTAAAAAAAAAAAAATCCTAATATTTAAATATCACACCTAGATGACCCGCATCACAGAGAAGCAAAAAGACACAAACATCAATTTGTTTCTACCTTCAGGTCACCTCATGGTCATGAAGGAGTCACACTTAACGTTCTTCCTATTTTTGGGCTGCTGCATTTCTTTGTTAGCTACATCTTCCTTACAAGGTACTTCTTCCATAAAATCCCTTATTCATGCAAGTGTCACTTCGTCTGCAAATGAAACGTGGAGGAACCCAAACACTCTTCAACTAGCAATGAACATGCAGGGAAAAGCTGACACCCAATACAAAGGAATTAATTGAGAGTTTATTCCAGATGTTTCTCCTCACTTAGTATACAAGTCATCAGAATAATCTATCAAATAGACTTGGACTTTAATGATATGATTTTTTTCTATAATGCATTTTGGTTTTTCCTTCTAACAACCTGTTTAAAAAAAAAAAAATCTGCCAGATGAAATGTTCAGCACAAACTGCAATCCTTACTATTTGTAGAAAATATGACTTAAAAAAGGACACTATCAGGTAATTCTTATTTTAAATGTTACACTTATAAAAATGCTTTGGAAGCTTGAAACTGAAATCCTTTGTAATAATTTTCTTCTTCTTCCTACCTCCCTCTTCCCATCTTAAATGCCTTTATTAGCCCAGGATTATCATAAATGACAGAGTGCAGCTGCTGATTAAAAACATTAAAAGACCACAAATGGATAAATTGTGTTTTAAAAAAATGGAAGCTTACAGGGATTTTTTGTCCAAACAAATAAAATGCATAGATAGCTACAGTACTCATCCATCAACCTTACAGTGTCCGCTTGAGGTAGCCTTTCTAAAGAATTACTAAACAAGCCCCAACATAATCTAAATCTTTGCATCAAAACCACTATCTCCTTGAAAGTCCACTCTCAATTTAACACCAGTGGTGATCAACAACATAATACATTTTAAAAGCTTTTGAAAAAACAGCAGGTACAGTGGACACGTTAGTTCTAAATCTGCAGCCCTCCATGTACATTGTATGCACATAAATATCTCAGCTATAATACACATTCGAGATCCATCCCTAAAAGCCATACTATTACGTAAAGCACAGCCATGCTAACTTCAGGATACAAACCATAATTCCACATCTGCAAAATGAAAGTAGAATTAGTGGCAGTTTATTGCCTCATACAAATTTAACCAACATGGCAACCATGCCAAAGGAATTAAAACATTTTCAGGACATATGTACAGACTGTACATTTCAGAAACATCTGAACAATAAAAATGCAAGAACAATCTCTGCATTACGAATTAAACTAAACAAATGGTTTGAAACCGTCAATGCATTGAATGGGTTTACAAAGGCACTTCCCTACCCAAAATAGGAAATGACAATCTGCGGCCTAGAGGGAGGTTGGAGAAGAGTGCTCATCAACTACTGCACAATCTCAACTTTAAGAAAAAATAAGCAGGATTTAATCAAACATTTATAGGATTCAATGTGATCCACTTCTCAAAGAGTTCACACAGTCTCATCTTTGTTTTTATGTTGCTTTTCTTGGCTCTCTCGTTCCGTACTTTGGCTCCTTCGACGATCGTGTTTGTCTGAATGGTCCTTGCTATCACTGTGATCGTGTTTGTGGGAACGTTCTTTGCTTCTGCTGCGCCTTCTAGGTTTTTCTTTGCTGGGACTCTGGTCTCGTTTTCTGGACTTCTCAACACTATCTGTTCTTCCTCTGCTTCCGCTTCTGCTGCGTTTATTTGACTTCTCTTTACTTTCATTTTTATGTTTACTTGATTTCTCTTTGCTCCTGCTTCTGCTGCGCTTACCTGTATTCTTACTTCGGCTCCTACTCCTATGCTTTCTTTCCCGGCTTCGACTTCTGCTATGTTTTCTCTCTTTTTTGGAATCCCTCTTGTCATCCCGGTGTTTCTTGTCATCCTTGTCATCCTTGTGTCTTCTCTCTTCTGTATCACCCTTACTTTTCCTTTCTTTCGATCTCTCTCTGGATCGATCTTTTTCCCTCTCACTTCCTCTTTCCTTATCATAATCTCTCTCTTTTTTCCGGCTCCGTTCGTTTTCTTTCTCTCGCTCCCTATCCCTGTCTCTTCTATCTCCTTTCCTGTCACGACTTCGACTACGGCTTCTGTACCTGTCCCTGCTTCTGCTTCGCCTCCGTTCTAGCGTGCGATCAGTACTTCGAGATCTCCGCCTTTCTTTTTCTCTCTCCTTAGCTTCACGTTCTAATCTCTGCCGTTCCCTTTCTCTTTCTAGTTCTCTATCAAAACTAGATGATCCATGGCCTTCCCGATGATGACTTCTGCTTCTGGATCTTCTGGGAGACCTCCTGGGACTGATGGATCGTCTTGGAGACCTTTTAAAATAAAAGATATTCAATATGAAACACAACCTTTTAAAGTTAAGGGACCCTCTTTACTTTCCCATTTATACTTTACATACACAGTCTGTATTTAATCTTAAATAGCAAATATAATCTGATTATCTTCATCCATTAGCATCCAATAACTGTTTTGCCTGTTGCCTTAAAACCTCTCTCAGTGAAAAGATGACATGTTTCTGGTAATAAGTTGTTCAATATTGAACTTTTAACATTCACACTTTCAAAATATTGCGCATATGACCTTGAACGTCTACGTTCTGCATGCCGGTCTATTTCTTCCATTCCCTCCTTGCCATCTTTCTTGATTTTTCTAGGTCTGCTTTTAATTTGCTGGTCAATGGTTTTCTGGACTGGCACAGGAATTCTTGGAAACAACGTGGAAAACCATTCGAGCTTAGTGAGGAAGGAACGAAGCATCTCCCCGATGGTCATAACACAACCCCCACCTGCCTTCACATCCAGGTCCTACAAAATACAAGCAAAAAATATCCTGATGGTCAAAAATATTCTTTACCAATTAAAAAAAAAAAATGCTGCTACATTACTGCCCTCCTGAAGTCTCATGATTATGAAAGTTTACTTCTCTCATATTCTAATACATTTCCTTAGAAAAATCCAAGCTCTGCACCCTTTGGATTTGGCAGTACGTTACAGATAGGGAACGGGACTTAATACATACGCATGCAGGCACATACTAATCCTGCAGCCATCTGGATGGTAAGGGACTGTCGATGAAGAGATTAACGCGAAATCCCCTTACACAGTCCGGTTATATGGTATGATCTTCTATTTTATTTAAATGCCACAAAGCTGAGAAGTCCTCTCAAACTACATTTAATACTCCATTTTGTGGATGTACAACTGCGTACCATCATACCCAACCCTGTGGCCTAAATCATTTAAGAACTACATCATCGCCTATCTAAAGATGATCATAGAAAAACCTCTAGTACAAAATGGCATCCTAACAGAATTGGAAGCAATAGCAAACCAACTGCCATGAAGCAGTGAGGTTTCTAATTTAGAAATATGTAAAAAAATAAATAAATGAACAAATAATTGGAAACGCATAATCCATGATGACCATTGTCTCTGAAAAGGGTCATTACCGCATGAAGGCCTTCTTGCTATGCCCTCTCACAGCTCAGGACATGTTAGTCAGCTATTGTCAGTCCCAAACCTATAGTGCAAGCACACAAGGAAAGTGAGATTTGTTACCTAAACAGGAAGAGAAAATCTAAATGTAAAACTGCTTGCACTCACACACATTTAAGTGTTCAGATATACAGTTTTTCCAAATATAATCGCTGCAGAGATCTAAAGAAGAAAAAAAGGAGTTAAACGTAGCACCTGGAGAGTACGTACAGTTAAACAAAATAAACATAAGAAGCATTTTGAAAAGTAACTCTGTATCCTGGGAAGTTTTTCACAGCAGCATGACAAAAGATGAACTGCTTCCACATATTTAAGAACTGGAGGAAAAAAAAAATCCTGTAGGTTTAAATAATTCCAGATATATATAAATTTGCTTCACCCTATTGAGCTTGACCAGGACTGGTAAGAAACTTAAGGCAAGCAGCCCCAAACACTTTTTCCTACATAACACAAAGCTACTGAAAGCAGCTGGGAAAGAAACACCAATTCCAAAAATATATTGGGAGTTTGTAAACAACAATAAACAAATATATGCTGATAAGCAATATCTGCAAGAACTGAAGTGTATGAACTAAAAAAGGTGCTTTGAATAATGAACCAGTTAAGACCTGCACAATCAATCACACTTGTGATCGCTTTATTGTCCTGGGAATCAAGTTGTTTGTGGGACCCTGAAAATGAAGCCACCCCAATCCTCCTCACAAGTTACAACACAACTCTGCAGAGAAGAGTTCATCTTAACTAGCACCACCTGGGGGAGAAGGAGGATATCACAGCAATGCAATCAAGATTTAAATTTGGTTTGATTTTTGTTGCAAACATACAGTAACACAGGTTTACCTGAAAGAACAGCTGTTTCCTTTGCACAGTGTTTTTGATACTTAGCGTGAAAGAAGCTGTTTAAAATAAATACACTGCATTGCAGTCAGATACAGGTCTTAAAAATAGTGTCAATTACACAAGTATTTGGACATCATTCGCAACTACAACATTTGAGATGTCTTGAAGTAGATGCCTACTGTCACACTGAAGAGGGCAAGTGATCCTTCCTGCTCCATTCTTAAGTCTAGGATGTAATTTAAAACCTGCTCAATAAATACAAATTGCAACAGTATGCAGCAGACTGTATATTCAACTTCATAGACCAAGAAACCTCACCCACCAGCTCCTACTCTGATTCTCCAGACAGTAAATCAGGACTATGGTACCAAAGGTATTCATCTATCTGACTGCACAATAATTCTTTACTGAACTTCTTCAGTTAGCAACTCAGGTTTCTTTTTTTGCCCCGTTAGCAAAGACATTAAGGTTACTAGAAACAACGCCACCTTATGCAGTAATTAGGCTGTTTGTTTCTCTGAAGAAATCGCAGGTTTAGTTATTCCAGGACGTGAATAACCACCACAGAGATTTTTGAAGGTGAATGCTCATTTCTACTACATACTTCCCACTCTTCTATGTAAGCACCAATTCCCCCTGTGCCAGTAATAAATGCAAAATACAAATTTAGCACTCTCAGGGCTTACCACACCTTGCTTAAAAACAATTCTTTTTCTAAAAACCGCTCAGAAGCCGCACTCACACAGCCTGCTGTCTGCATTCTGAGCTGTCTGCATTCTGATGTAATGAACCTGTTTCACATGGCTTTGTAATATTTGACACAGTTAACATCCTAAGCAATAGAAAATTCTGTTAAATCTAAGAAAAATGACCCGGGGTCCCAGCTCAGACCTGCTTCCTGCACTAATTAAAGAAATTACAAGAACATAACATTGCAACATTCAAATTACAGAAAACCTTATCAAACAGTGCTTAAACCTAAAGTAGTAACATGAAAAGAAACAAAAGAAAACAAATTATTACCCTCGCCGACATACCTCTTCATCATCAAGAAAGGATTCAAACCAGTCCCATAGATCTGTAGGTGGTTGTGTGTACCTTTAAGTACAAAAAGAATGTAAAATTTTAAGACAGCTTTCCGTATATTAAATTAGTCATTACTTGATTATATTGATACTTACCTAATATACATAAATCCAAGAGCCCTAATATATGGAGAGTCTGTATGAGTTATAAGGCCCATCACTTGCTTACGAGTGAGTTTCAGTGTAAATAATTTGTAGAGCAGACAAAAAGCAGTAGACACAATTCCTCCAGTTCCAACACCACGCACCTTTCAAACAAAAAAAAAGTTGGGTGATAACGCAGGAAGTCACAAAGACATTATTCCAAATCTACAAAACAATGTGAGAACTGACACAGGATACAATCTGAAGCTACAAACAGAGCCATGTGGAAAAAGTAATACTACTTGCATCCACAGCTCTGGAAGCAAAGGGAAAAATATCAACTCTTTGTAATAAATGCATTTACATCTAGGGACTGAGCCAACATACAAACAAGTTTTAGCTATGCTTGGGAAATTTATTTACCAGACAGAAAAATTTAAGAAGGCACGTACTTCTACTTACCCCTCCACACATCCCTGTCTGGCCTGCTGTTTTTCTGCTCCCCTTCTCCCATGGTTCGACATGCGTAACCTGAAAGGGCAGGGTGGGGGGAGGAAAGAAAGACAGAAAATGGCAATTAAAACCTCCATAATGTTTAGCTGCCTATACAAACCTAATCTAAACAATGGATATCCTAAATCAATCTTAAATAGCTTGTCTTCTCCTACCAAATTCAGGATCAAGTCTGCTTTGTCATTAAAGCAAAGCATTAGGCTTTTTTAATTACCACATTAAGAAATGATAGCAAAAATCATGGATGAAGTTTAAAAAAAAAACAAAACAAAACAAAACAAACAAACCACAACAAAACCACAAACCAAAGCAAGCATCCATGCTTATTCTGCACTCTATGTACTTTCAAATACTTCATGACTACACTCCATCATTACTATTTTCTATGGCGACTAAACAATTACCTTTATTTAAACTGTCTCTTAAGAAGTTTAGTGATACCTGCTGATGACAGCTACAGAAGTCAAAATCTACAGTCTCTATTCATAAAATCTCATTTATGCAGTGAGCTTAGAGATTTCTTTTGAGTATGACCTACAATTAGGACAAAAGAAAGATGTCTATGAAGTGTAGTATTTTAATCTAAAAAGACAGTATTTTTTCTTGTAGAATGCAGTGATGTTCTTGAGTAAAATGGTTCCTAAGTACTAATGAGCAAAGCTTGCCTAATCCAAATCTTTTGAGATGCATTTAGAGATGAGTGCACAAACAGTTAACCGAGACCATTCCTTGAATTTGACAATAAGAATCATAAACAAGTTAAGAACCATAAAGCTGCCTAAGCTACATTTGCAATTGTGAAATTCAGAGAAGTAACATCTGACTCAATAAACAAGTATACTTCCTAAACACATCAACTTAAAAAAAATAAGTAAAAGCAAGACAAAAAAAGATGCAACGGTGTTACACTGGACAGGGGATAAGAGTTTGTGGCCAAGTTGTGCTGCAGTTCACAAATTAAAATTCTTCAACAATACACGAAACAAAACTAATTATGTACACAATCACATGAAATCAGAGATACACTAATGGCTGAAGTTGCTGAACTGTTTTTTTTACAGTTGCTGTCTTACCCAAATAGGAAACATGGGAGATGCCAATACCGTGGAATTCAAAGTCCACTATGACTTCCTGTATTTTTAGCATCATATGAGAAGTTCACAAATACTACATAAATAATACTGCACATCCTTCTGATTATTTACAGTTTTGCCTCTCACAGGAAGCGAAAAGTATTTTTTAGTCAGAGGAACCAGTATGACACTATCACAATGGTACTCTTCAATTTTTTTAATTACGGTTACATTTATTGGCCGTAACCAATATAAACATGCTGGTTTTGACAGATATCGATAAAAAAAAAAACCAAAGCCCTGAAAACAATATTCATTTCAGAAAGGAGTACTTGAAGTTTTGATCCTACAAAGACTGCTGCATATGCTTAACTTGTTGGAAGTATACAGATTAAATGAAGTTGAGGACATGCACATGGTGCTAAGATCAGGGATAAAGAAAGAGGAAGTCATCCACTTTGCAGACGCAGAACTGAAACAGGAGACCAGAGCTACAAGTGACTTAATTCTAATATCTAGACAGAATCCATATCTTCAAAGATGGTCCCTATCACTAGCTGCCTGTGTGACTTAAGATCATCTTTCTTGAGAATCCAGCACCCAGCATTCTTAAATTTTTTAAATGAGCCACTTATTTTGGTTCCCAAACAAAGACAAATACACTTGAAAATACACCTGCTATGGTGGATATCACGCTCAATTCAGGAAAAAAAAAAAAAGCCAGCAATTTTTCACAACTCTTAAAACATGAATAGAATTCAAATCTTCTGAATATCAGTGAAGTACCTTAACGATCAGGTTATCTCCTCCCCCACATTTATTACTCATGAGTAAGTAAGGGGCTGAGTTTTGTCTTTATTTAGCATGCAGTTTTGAGTCAGAATAACTGTCAAGTCCAGTAAACAAACTTTATTTACATTGGATTAATAAGCGGTTATTTAATGGTATGTCAAAATTCTACCCCAATTTAAGATTAAGCCACTTATGGAATGAAACAGTGAGACAAGCAAATGAACTATTTGACCTACTGCAGCTGAGCTCTACCAATACTAAGAAGATGAATCACATCGAATATTTTTTACTACATCTGACAGGGTCCATGTAAAATACAGTCAGCTCTCAAATTTCCTGAAAATACGTTTCTTTTATAAATTTTTCAGCTCTTGCCATCACTTGCAAAAATAAACTTTGCTGCTTTCCATTCTGATAGAATGAATTATTTCTATCTCATATTGCAGCACATGGTAAACTAAGTGAAAAGAAGCTTTGTCGACAATCTATGTTACTTTTAAAAATTAGGAAAATTAAGAAGTCTGCTCCAAATGACAGAGTGTAAGCAGAGAAGTGCTGTCATTAAGAGGAAAAACAGTAGCACTGTCTTCAGAAGTAAGAGCAAACAATGCCCAAAATCTCAAAATACTTCCATGGAATTATTTTTCACAACTATAGTGCCCTAAGTAACTTGACTTGCTCTGGTTAAATAAGATAAAAAGGCTACTTTTTTTTTTTATTTCAAAGTATATTGAAACTTGCTAACTGACACAGTAACATTACCAAGCAGAATCAATTCACCTGAGAAAAATATCTCAATAACCACCGAAGTACAGCTGACTGAAGACAGCAGCCTGAATTATCTAAGTTTTGCTCTCCTTATCAGAACAAAGAATGTGGCTGTGTTGATGAGCATTAATTATGCATACCTCTACCTGGGAGACTGGCTTGATGGAAGCCTCGATGCAAAACTGATTCAATCCTGCTAACAAAACAAGAACTGAGACATGGGTGCACTGAAACAGTTCAGTTATCTCCCCAGCACATCCTACGTAACGCCAAGAGAAGCACTAAAATGAACTACTTTTTGACTGGGTGTGGAGGGGGGATCCTAGCCTCTAGCTGAGGAAGAAGGCCACATGCAAACTCCTGTTGAAAGCACCTAGAGTCACCACCATACCTTCGGCGCAGTTATACGGAGCGTCGGCAACTCCTAGGCTGCGGGGAGTGGGTGTCCCTAGAAGTGGCATGCAGATCGGGTCCCCTCCGCACTCTCTCCGACCGAGAGCGCAGTCCTCGGACGGCCATTTCATCCCCACTGCCCTGGCTCACGCTGCCCACTTCAAAACTAACCTACAACTCCGTAATTCCAAATCCGCCGCGAAGCGCACTTCTTTCGTAAAAGAGGGAAGGCAGCACCTTGGATTCCCCCAATTAAGCAATAAAAAAGAGATTTGCTCCCATCCCTTACCGCAAGATAATGGACAGGAAGGCAAGAGAATCCGCAGGCCGCAATCAAAGCCTTCCCCCTTCAAAAACCCCAGCCACAGGGAGGCCCGGGACAGGCGCCAGCACAGCCCCGAGGAGTCCGCGGCGCCCAGGGCGCGGCCCGCAGGCTCACCTTGAAGTAGATTTCGTCCACCACTTCGTGGTACGTCTTGAGCTCATAGAGCTGCACCTTGAAGTAGGGCGACGACAGGATGTTGGTGAGGATCATGGGGTTCAGGTTCATGGTCTTCTCATTCCCCCACAGCGGCAGCACGTTGCCTTGCTTGCCTGAGGCCGCCGGCTTGGGGGCTCCGCTCTGCAGCTGCTGCTGGGCCGGCGGGACGG